CGACGACAGTAATCAGAGAGGCGGCAAGTGGAGCGGCGAGGCCAGGAGAGAGGGAGGGAGAGGGAGAACGAGAGAGAGGTAGAGCAAGAGAGAGAGAGAGAAACTGACAGCGCAGCAGCGCGGGGGTGGGGACGCGATGGCAAATTGATCCGTCCCTTCCTCTCTTCATCCCTCCCTCGTTCCCTCCCTCCCTCGTTCCCTCTTTCCCTTCTTTCTTCACTGCTCATCTCTCCTCCCCCATCTCTCTGCCGACGTGGTTCGCCAACGACTGTCCGCCGAAGGGACTGTCGGCGTCCCCTGGACACAGCAAGACCCAGTCTTCAAGCGGATCAGTGGTGCTACATCGCGGCGTTTGTCCACGATTCTGACCTTCCGAGGTCGTTCTGGGGGGCCCAGGGCCCTCAGAAGAGTGCCCCCGCGATATACACAGATAAACGTGTATGTGTATACCGCATAGACCACCCTTCGGGTGATAAGGAGGCGAGGGGGGGGGGGACCACCGTCGCACTCGATCGATCTCACTATCGATCTCGCTATCGATCTCATTATCAATCTCATTCGATCAATCTCACAATCGATCTGGCTATCGATCTCACACTCGATCTCACTAACGATCTCACTATCGATATCACAATCGATCTCACAATAGATCTCACAATCGATCTGGCTATCGATCTCACGATCGATCTCACATTCGGTCTCACGATCGATCTCACTACCGATATCACTATCGATCTCATTCGATCGAGCTCACAATCGATCTCACAATCGATCTCACATTCGGTCTCGCTATCGATCTCACTATCGATATCACAATCGATCTCACAATCGATCTCACAATCGATCTGACTATCGATCTCACTATCGAACTCACTATCGAAGTCATGATCGACCTCTCGTTCGATCTCACTATCGATCTCACTATCGATATCACAATCAATATCACAGTCGATCTCACATTCGGTCTCACTATCGATCTCACTATCGAACTCACTATCGATCTCACTATCGATCTCACATTGGGTCTCACTATCGACCTCACTATCGATATCACAATCGATCTCACAATCGATCTCACATTCGGTCTCACTACCGAACTCACCATCATCACCACCATCATCATCACCATCATCATCATCATCGTTGTCAACATCATCATCATCATCGTCATCATCATCATCATCACCGACGGGACACCGACGGGACACCGGCGGGACACCGCCGGGCCCCGGCCGCCCAGAAGGGAGACATTTGGTCCGGCCGCGCCTCAGCCACACGGGACACCAGCGGGACACCGGCGGGACACCGCGGGGCCCCGGCCGCCAGGAAGGGAGACATTTGGTCCGGCCGCGCCTCAGCCACAGGAGACTTTCTTCTCGCCCGCCCACGCAGCTTCGCCTCGCCCGCACGCACGGCACGCACGAACACGAAACCGAAATCGATTTCCCAGTAGGGGGGCTCTCCGTTCCACTTCGATCTCACCCCCTCACCTCCGATACGTACATACACATTAATACATACATACAGACAAACAGACACACATACAGACACATACATACACATACATACACATACATACATACATACAATCAGACAGGCAGCCCGACATACACAAACACAGATTGACATTATCATGCATGTACACATACACATATGTACCGCTGAATGGCATTAAAAATATGTGGGCATGCCGAACCTAATATATTTATATGGATATATGTATAAGAGAGGGATAAATGATATCGGTGTACACAAGTATGTAAGTACGTATATGTGTATACACGAATAAATGATGTATGTATACGTGTTTTCGTTTGTATGTATACAATAACAAGAACGCTACCCAATTTGGATTTAAAACACTATAGTCGTGCATCCGGCGTGATGTAAGAATTGTGGTAGCAAAAGGTACGTGGTGCAATATACGTGGTGCAACTCAACATACCGAACACGAAATTGCCAACTACACTGCTCGCGCAATCATCCCACCCACCCACCCGCAATTTGGTTTGCTAACCCCATGCGGCGGCGATTGGTACGACTGCTCGGCGCTGGCTGGAGCATCGCTGCAGCCACGCTAGCGGGCATGCTCGCGCGCGCGCACAGCGGTCAGCGATTTCGGCGCGACCGACGCGGCCGCGGTGGCGCTGACCGCTGGGCACTTCCCAACGGGCACTTCCGTGCAAGTCGGCGACTCGGGCGGGCGCGGTATCATGGGAACGTCGACAGTGGTAGACGCGATGATGAGTGTAGCGGTCTTGGAAATCACGGCAAGTGACGGCGCGCTGATAACGCCGACGACGATGACGGCGTCATCGCGTCGGTGATGAAGGATCCGGAAAGAGTTCGACATGCGCGCGCGGACGACGAGCGAGAATGGCCCACATACTTTTTAAAAACAGATCGACCCCCCCCCCCGCACGCGCGCAAGGGCGTTCAAATGATGTCGACATGCGGCGCGATAGGCCCGTCTGGCAACATGGAACAAAATTGTCTCAAAACGTGAGGTTCCAAAATTATCCCGGCAAAGCAACCTAACAGCGATGTGTAGGAGCATATCTGGAAGCATTCCCCTTAAGATTCGGATGAGAATCCAGTTGTAGAATTCTGCTGTTCTCGCAGTCGTAGTCGCGTTCGCGATGACAGTCGCAGTGGCAACGGCAGTCGCAGTCACAGCCTCAGCCTCAGCCTGCCTCAGCCTCAGCCTCAGCCTGCCTCAGCCTCAGCCTGCCTCAGCCTCAGCCTCAGCCTGCTTCACCTCAGCCTCAGTCCCTGATCCACCACGGCCTCACCATCCAGCCAAGCCTCATCCACAGCTGCATCAGCCCCCCCCCCCCAGCCTCAGCCCGCAGCACACCTGCCTCAGCCTCAGCCTCAGCCTG